GTGTGAATTCTTCTACAAAGTTCATCTCAATTCCACAGACTTCTTGATGCTTGATTACTATGAAGAAAAAATAAGCAATGTTTACCTTCAGGCTGGTAAAACTTTGGCTTCATGCAAAGTAAGGAATACAAACTTAATAGGTTGATTAAAATTCTATCCATACTTTACACATCGTTTATATCAGAAACATGATATATGATGCAAATTATCCTAATCATCTTGATTACGTACACTTATTTTGCACCAAATAAACGCTCAAGTGGTGGTTTAAAAGCAATAAACGTATGTTAGTATTGAAAACGCGCCTTGGGAGATCCTCAGAACTGTTTTGCAAAGTAATGTTCCCGGCAGTTCTTTCACCTGAGCGGTATATTGGCGATGGAGCATGCTTATCAGCTGGTAATAACTATGAGCCCTGTTGTCCACAATTGCTTTATTACAAATAAAAAGGCAGGCAAAAAGTGGTTAGCCCTTTCTCAACTAATAATTGGCTCCTCAATGCACCTAGCACAAAAATATTACTGGAACAGATGTCGCTAAGCTCAAGCCGCAACGCGAGAGATTGCACTTAGAGTGTCTGTGGAGCACGTTATGATGCGTACATTCCCAATGTCAATTACACGCGATAAATCGTCTTCCACGCTGGCAGCCTCGTTTACGAGTTTGTGCATTATTTCACAAAATTTCCACTTCACCCAGTTTATCGTTCCGTTTAATGTATATCATGCCTATTTTTTACGCTGAATATATCTTCTTGTGCCTCACTGTACTTTTCTCATCTCAAATCATTTGGATTTAACCCTTTTCTTGCAAATTACTCCTCTCTTTTCTCTTCGACTAACAATGCTATGTGGAAGTGTTGCTTTTCCTTAACCCTAAAAAATATCCCATGTAATTTTGAACATTTGTTTCAGTCTGGTTTTTCCTTTTATTCTTTACGGGAAAAGTTCTCATAAATTGCTGAATACGTCTTTGGTGCACAATATGATCCCGTTTGAAATGTTTCCGCACTTTTCTTATTTCAAGTTATCTGGGTTCACCTCTTTTCTTGCAACGTAGCCCTCTCTTTTTTCTCCAACTTTAAACAATGTTTTGTAGAACTGTTGCTTTTTCTTAATCCTTAAAAAATACCTCGTTAATTTTAAACATTTGTCCCGATCTGGGTTTTTCATTCTTTCTTTACGTGAGAGAATTTTCCGTAAAAACTGAATACGGAAATAACTCCTTGGTGCACGTCCCGTTTAAAATGTTTCCGCACTTTTCTTATTACAAGTTATTTGTTTTCATCTCTTTGCAACGTATCTCTCTCTTTTTTCTCCGACTTTAAACAATGTTTTGTGGAATTTTGCTTTTCCTTAATCCTCAAAAAATATCCCATGTAATTTTGAACATTTGTCTCAATCTGGGTTTTTCATTCTCTTTACGTGAGAGAATTTCTCGCAAAAACTGAATATGGAAAACTCCTTGGTGCACAATAGATCCCGTCTGAAATGTTTCCGCATTTTTCTTATTACAAGTTATTTGTTTTCAACTCTTTTCTTGCAGTGTGCTCCC